ATTTCACCGAAGCTCATTTTACAGACAAAGTAATTCTGGTCAATATCATTAGGGTTAGGTTAGAATTAGAGTTAAAGTTAGTGTAATTTATAAAAAAAAGCTTGTTGGTAAAATGAGCTTCGGTGAAATAGACTGTCAGTAAAATCAACTTGTCGATGAATAATTGTCAGTGAAATGTGGTGCCTATGAATAATACAAACCCGTTTATTTTACATTCACAGACAAGTTCATTTCATAGACAATATATTTTACTAACAGCTCATTTCACACTAACCTTAAGTGGTATGCCTTTTATTCCAATGATCATGACCCGAATTGCTATGTATGTAAAATGAGCTGTCGTAAAAATATACTGTCCATGAAATAAACTTGTCTTTGAATTTATAATCAGTAAAATTATTTTGGTTTAATTAATTGTTGTGAACTCAGTTGTCTATTAAGTAATTGTTATCAGTGAAATAGTACAGACAAAATTGAATAATGAATGATAATATCAGTGAATGAATCAAATATCTATAAGATATTTGGGACCGCTTCCATGGCCAAACCATCTTACAGATACTTGATTTATAATTGAATTTATAATATCATAACAATATTTTTTTTTACCTAATATAAGATAATTTATTTCAATCAATTTTGTCTATTATCAATTAAAGCCTAAAATGATGAAATGATAAAATTGATGAAAGGTGATGAAACTAAGGAAAAATAATGAAACTGATGAAAGTGACAAAACTGACAAAAGGTGTGAAACTTACAAAAGCTAAAACTAATGCATTCAAAAAATATGTACTAGGTTTTTTGCATGATAATAAAACAGGGCTATAAAATTTTATGAGTTAAATTGTTTTATTTGTGTAAAATAAAATGAGGCTTATAAAACGGGATTCATTCAATTCTTTCAGCCTCATTGTATAATACAAATCACATGTTTGCTTAGGTTTAGCCACATTTCATAGTCACGAAAATTAAATCGAAATTGAAGATCAACAAATCTCTTCTAAAGAGCTTCGACAATCTATGATTATCAAATAATCGACCCGGCAAAAAAAATCCGAAAAAAAAGATGAAAATTGCCGTAAGTTCAAAAAATAATATAAAAATTCATGTTGAAATTCTCATATATATTAAAGTTATTGCATATTTTAGTATAATTTATTATTATTATTACGATATGGGTTTGATTTTTTTTTTTCTCTCTCTCTCTCTCTCTCGCAATGAATGAACATCATGAACATATAGCTATATAAAAATGGCGGAAGTGAAATTTCCATTTTAGGGTATTGGGAGGAAATTGTTTTCGACGATCCCTGCAGTGCAAAGATATAATATACCTAAAACAGTAAGGGCATATCCATACGCAGCAACATATATCACATTAAACAATCAAATATGGCAAGGATAGAGAATCCAAAATTATAGTTCGCTAACTTGTTTTTTTTTTTCTTAGTAAGAATTAGATAAAGTTGTCTAATATTTTAATTAAAATGATTGTCTAAATATGCTTACAGTACAGGCTCATTAAAATATGCCTACAAAAATGATGTACAGTACATAGATTCACAAAATTCGTGCGCATGCCATCGTTAGTTCTTATAAAAAATGACAGGTTTGAATATTTTTTAGAGGTAGCTTTTATGCATAAAAAGAGTAATAAACTATGTGGTCTATAATAAGGGTAATAATATATAATAAAGAGTATGCGTGTAACTTATGTGACATTTAATTAGTCTAACAATCAGTCCGTCCAGTCTCGTACAGATCGATCCTGGATCGCAGTCTGGTCTAACTTTTTAAAAGACTGCCAGTCTTTGGACCAAGACAACCAATTAACAGCCCTAGTAGCACAGCTACTTATAATTATTTACAAATCACTATAACCAAACACTTTTACTTATATGATATAGGAAATATTATTATCCTGCGAAAAAGCATCACAAATATGTAAATTTACCGATTTCTGGATTTTGATGATGAAACCACGAGTCACTTGATATTAGTTAATAAAGGTTAAGTATCAAATTCGAACCGTCAAAGTGATATCAAGATAATTTTCATGCTTCTTATTTTTGAAAATTTGTTAAGTAAACACTTAAATAAGGTTTAAGATGCATTCCAACAATTTATCATTCTTTGAGCATATAGCGCTTGATTTTTCGGAAGCACTCTAAAAAGTAAATTTGTGAACCGTATATTCAAGTGATAAGCTTAGTTAAAAGAAATAAAAATATTATTTATTATCAGCTAAAAAGTTTACCCTTTTACAAAATTTAAATTACATAAGTTTTTATAATATTTCTCAAGAAATAAGTTCATGATGAGCCGATGATGGAGTTGGAATACCCTCATCCTTTAATTTAAATTTATAAATTCCAAATGATAAAGCAATACCACCAAGTATGCCAACAATTACACCACCAATAGTACCCAAAACAACATATTTACCATCACTTGGATATGAATTATTAGAATCTTCATACGGTTGTGCTGATACTGAAGATTTGCAAGCTTCTGTTATTGTAAGCGTAGTTGGGGTTGGTGTTTCTGAGAAGACTACGCTAAGTGTATTAGAAGTATGATGAAAACTCCATTTACAGGCAAATACATGACAAGTTGGATAATATAGTGTCAATGTTCCTACTGTATCAGGAGGAGGTATGAAAGGTACCGCAGTTTCTGTAACTATAACAGTTTTATAAGGTGTACCATTTGTAGAGTACTTTCTAGTATAATAATGTGATGCCTGTCGTTTTTGTAAATTTTTTACAGTACCATTTTGAATTCTGGTTGACATATCGCTTATACCTCCTTCAAAGGATGCCAATTTTTCATAGGAAGCTTTTACTTCAATTATGTTCATATAAATAAATAAAAGCATTAAAACTTTAAGCATCTTATTTAAATTAAAATAGCGACCCATTTCAAATAATTTTTCCAAATGAGCTTCAGAGGTAAAAGCTAAAAAAAAAATCCGTGTACCTTATCAGGTTTGAATTTATTCATTTGCTTAAGTGATACAGTCGGACTTCCCCAAATGTACGTCTTCGTGACCAGCTCTAGAGAGTGTATTTAGGGGTTGCAATGTAACTATTGTCACGTGATAAATGTGGTTCAGTGTAAAAATAATAAATTTGATTGGCTAGTAATTGCGTAGATACATTTATGGAAGGAGTTTTATAATAGACCAAACAATTACAGAATAAAGAAAGCGCATGCCCCATTATGGAGCTAGCCTTCCATCGTGCATTGTGGCATTTAGGGGGTTGCATATAGTAATAGGGGTCTGACTGTACTTGTAAATCTTTTTATAGTACGTACATACAAAGATTACATTGTGTTACAGGCAGAAATTCTCATATGGAGCTTTAAAAAATTTCTTCACATTACTTTGACATGATGACACTTAAATACTAGTATGGCATTTTGGCCATCAAGCGTTCTCTGTTGAGCTGCACGAATTGGTCAAGTCGAATAAGTTTTTTATTCTTTTAGCTATTTTTACGTATTCCAATGCTAACCATAATTACTATTTTAATTTTTTTATAGGGATTCTTTTTGCCTTTTGACAGTGATTTCAGCAACGCTCTCGATTGTGTCAGTCACGAATCCTCCTTTATGACGCCATATGAGATGGGAAATTCACTGGTGAAAATTATTGCCTGTTTCAAAAGCAATATGATTTTTTATAAAACGCATGATTTTTAGCGATTATGTTTCTGTCATGACATTTGCCAGGAATAAGTGATTTAAAGTGTATTATATTAAACTGTAGTTAGTTTAAGTATTATTCTTAAGTATTATAGTCCAGAATCACCAAACCTGTTTCTCAAAATAACTTACATTATGACCTGTTATAACTTAGCATCGTCAATTTCTCAAATAAGAATGTCTACAAAATTATATACCGTTTCTCTGACAAACCATTTTCTTGAATATGAATCACAAACAACACCATTTCCTGATATTTTTTATTATACCTCCATATAGAAAAATAGTTACAAAATAATAAAAAATAATTACAGTTAATGAGCAGGATATAATTTTATTTAATAAAAATAAATATGGGATAATTAAATAGAAAAGTGACAAATCTTTTTTAGTAAAAATTTTTTTAAGTTTTAAAATAAAATATCTGAACAACTATCTAATCAAATTTGCTAAATTTTTTTCATTTTACTTATGAAATTATATAGAATTAAAATAAAATAAAATAAATATATTAAATTTGTTAAGATAGTTAGCTTAAAGTTAAGTAAACCTTGGGAAAATTTTACCCTTTTCTACTGACTCACACTATATATTAAATAGATAAGGAATTATATTTAATACAATATCAGACAGTAAAATGCATCCACTTTTTATTAGCAAAAAGTTTAAATTGTTATAACCTTTTAAATTTTAAAACCCTATGACAAATTGGTAGATTTTTAACTAAGGCCACTCCAAATTGATTCTTTGTTTACCATTATGTACAAATCATCAGCAAAGAACATTTAATACTTTCTGGAAATAAAACAGCAAAACTAGTTTACCATTATATAGATAGTTTCATTCTCATTAATTTAGTGGATTAGTATAAAGAACATTTAAAAATTTCTAGAAATAATGGTAAGACTAACAAAAATAATATAATTAGTTTATTCTAATTTAGTAGGTGAGTATAAACAATGATCTGAATTGTTAAAATTATAAATTACATGAAAAACTAATTTACAGAAACTTATTCAAAATTACGTAAAATTACACAAATTACAATAATTTTATATCCCTAAGTATTAGATTAAATCGTAAACGAATTGACTGTTTCAAAAAATCAAGGTTAAAAGTGAAAGAAATTGGACTTTTACTTAATGGATAACAAAACTTTAATTATCATCATTTATATAGGTTAATTGATTTGTTGTACTTTACAAACAAAAACCAGCACTATGATAATTTTTCGGACAATTATCTATAGGTGTATGTTAATTTTTATTTATGAACACAAAAACGTAAATATACGAAATTGTTATCATCCTTCATATAGGGAAAAGATTTTTGATTCTAATTAAAGTTTCTGCTCTTATTTACATGTCATATGATTTTGTCTCACGTCCGATATTTTTGAGTAAATTCTTCGGAGGTATAATCTTAACTTGGAGCGAATCGAATTTAAACATGTGACCTTATTTATGCAAATAATGGAATTTCGTGTAACACAAACTAATCAAACGTTTTCCTAGTTCGTACGTACGTATGTACGTGAATGCATACACACTTCGCATTACTCTGCTCCTGATATAACTTCTATATAAAGAAATTTAGAACCAGGATGAACTGAATAAATTAATTAATAGTCCTAATCGTGGTAATATAAATATTGAGTGGATTTGACCTTTTTATTTAAAAAATATTATTCTCGTAGAAAATTCTTAATCTTGGCAAAGATGATAAGATTGTTACGTGCCTATATGTATTCATGTACAATAATTTGTTGATCGTACAAATCATGTGAATTTGAATTTGTGCTATTTGTGATTAATGCAGCAGCAATAATTCAATTTTCATTTTTAGTCGCACTAATACTATAAAAGTACTTTTTATTTTGTTTTACAAAAGATCTAAACAAATAGCGTTACGGGTTTTATTGCGTTATTGAAATAGCTGATAAATTGTTGCACCTACGTACGTACGTACATGCGTACGTGCGTACATCTGTACGTGCGGAATGACAATTTATTTGAGAATGATTGACAGCAATTTGAACAGTTATTAGCATAAGACCTTTTCACTGCTATTATATAGGTTTTATGCCTAATAACGTTAGTTTATCACTACAATGTCTGTATTTGTACCTGCCAGTCGTTATTTCCAGGGCAGCGTCGTCGTTGGAGATAAAATATACTTTTTAGGTGGTATAGGAAGTTCAGGAAAAGGCACTAGTGATTTTTTCTATTTGAATGTTTCTTCACCATTCAATGCTGCAAATCCTGTATGGACTGATCTTACAAGCGCTGCACCTATACCTGTCTTTAGTGCTTTCTCACCTTCCTGTGTTGGTGGGAGTAACAATGCTTCTATTTTTTTGTTCGAACATCGTAGTACAAATAATGTTAATTCAACTACTCTAGTGACCTTTACTCTTGATACAGCATCTCCAAAATGGACCACTTCAATAACTTCAGGTGTTACACCACCATCCAGGCAAGAAATGTCGGCAGTTGTTGATAATAATGGTAAAATATATATTTCTGGTGGATATGATCCGTATACAACCCAGAAATCATATAATAACACCTATATACTGGATTCTTTGAAATTAACTTGGACTAATGGTAATAGTGCTCCAATAATTCGATCAGATTATACTGCCACACTTTTACCAAGTGGGCTTATAGTATATATTGGAGGAACAAATGATGACCTTACTTCTCCAGAAATTGACATGACAAAAGTAGCTAAATTTTAATTATCGTGTTAAGTCTTTATTTTTAATTTTTTTTTTAAATAAGACTAATTGTTTCTTACTAGATTACAATTTATGATACGAATTCTGGAACTTGGTCATCAATGGTAGGTAAATGAACTGTCAATAAAAATGTTTCGGAATAACACTTTGCCTGAATCAGTCACAGTATACAAATTTGCCATGTACAGTTTAGATTTATGCAATTAGTATATTCTTTTATGCGTATTATAGTGAAACAAATACGTGGTATTTTCGATTTGTGTTAGATGGTTCCCCTAAATAATTTCTGCTTTCTATTAAATTTGACCTTGGCCTCTAACTCATCAAACATGGTCTATTGGAATAATGTCATATTATAAATAGTAGTCATAAAAGTTATGCGTGACAGAGCAGTAAATACCATGGTAAAAAAGCGGATTCTCAACGCAACAATTACTTGTCGCATTTAGCATAGTTGTGTATTTGCACAAAATTGGAAGGACTGCTTCATTAAAACAAGACAAATATATTTATCTTATATTTTTGATATGTATGAATTATTAGACTGCAGCTGGCGACGTGATTGCAGCTCGTGAATCTCATAGTGCCGTGCTTGGTATGTAGTAATACAGTATAATAAAGTATTTATCGGTTTGTTTATAACTTACAAACTTTGCTATCTTTTTTTTTCTTTTTTTTTTTGTTTTCAGGCAAGAGCGGTTCTATTATTATTTATGGAGGTGGTGCCAAAAATCTTACTGTTGCTCCAACTCCGAATTTAGCTGCATTGGATACGAGTACTACGCCTTACAGTTGGTCGTCAAAACAATTGTCAGGCACAAATATTCCATCAGCCCTTGCCTATCATTCAGCCGAAATGATTGGAAATTATATGATCTTGGCATTTGGTAATTATATTCTCTTATTGAAATTTTATATTGCTAATTTATTTGCCGAAAATTTTATTAAATATTTCATTTCTAGGCGCCGGCTATTCAGGTGCAAAATTTGACACAGTAAATGCCCTTAATAAAAATATTTACATAATGGACACTTCAAATTATACATG